GACATATAAGCGGATGGAAAGACAGACATTCAGATAAGGCCGGCAATCTGCGTCGGATTTTTCTTAGTGATACTTAGTCGGTTTCCAAAGACGGTACCGACTATCGAAAGGTACAAAAGTCGGGTGTTAGGTACAAATTAATGAGATCCTTATCATATCCACTCTTTTTATATTTTTTTCGCGTTCTTATCCAGAATGAAATAAGTGGCAGGTCTTTATCGTACAGTCAAAAATAAATATAATCTGGTTAGATATTTCATACTTTATATTTCAACTTTGATGAAAACTCTTTAAATAGTATAAATTATTGGGTAAGTACCTATCATGGTATCTCCCAATTATTACTCATTTATGATTTATGAAATTATGAGAAATATTTGCGTTTAACGAAAATCTCAGCGGGAGGCAACTCAAACATTTTTAAAATTTATTCTCAGTTAATGTAAGCCGTAAATTTTACGTAACATGACCGCTAAATTTTTTTACCGACTTCCAACAAGAAAGAGTTTCTATGTATGAAGAGTCTGTATGTATGTTTTATTTATTTTTTATGTATGTTCACCGATTTCTTGGAGACGGATTGACCGATTTAGTACTTTAAACGTTATTGTATTATTATTATTTTTTCATTTTTAAATTTGAAAAAATAGGTAGTAATTATGGAAGGCTCACTACCGGACCGGGCTTAAAAGTTGCATGATGGATAGAAGTTTAAAATAGAGAATTTTCAAAAAAGTCTAGGGATACACACAGTTTTAAAAACACGATTGAAAATTTAAAATTCAAAGATCTCGATTAAAAACATTTAAAATATTTATTATATTTTTTTCTAAAGGTCATCCATAAACAAAAAAAAAAACAAAAAAAAAGTAGAATTTCGACTGTTATTAAGAAAGTTATGAGCAAAAAAAACAAAAAAAGAGCGGTTTTGAACCAGTGATCAAAAAATCTCGACATTTACCAAGTAGCCTCTTTTTAGGGTTACTAAAAAGTTATTAATATTAAGAAAATCAAAAATAAAAATTTTGAAACCGTCCGATTTGGCGTGGAATGCTCCATATGTACCTAATCAGATATTTTCAAAATCAGTGCCAGCCTTTGCAAAGCAAAGTAAGTCTATTTCGATACGTATAATTAATTAAAAACATCACAAATTGATATATAATATTTTGTAGATATTCGTACATGGGCGTACATTTATTAAACCGGGTCTCCCATGCTTGTTTTACCCTACACACTACACGAAGACTAAAAAATCCGAATGTCCATTTTTATTTAGCGGACACTTCTTATTATTGTTCAAAAGTTTGCACACTGCACACAGTATCAACCAGATTTTTTAAATACTACCAAATCGGTAGACAAACGACTTATTATCGATTCGCTTGGGTGCGTCCCTAGGTACGTACGCGGATTTTGTTCACAATTGTTTTTTGCCGAACCCTAGTTATTTAAAAAAAAAACAAAAGTTGCCAAATTTAGCTGTTACCAGGGTCGACAGAAGCGCGCCCAGTTTAAACTAAACGCTGTTTAATATGATCAACCCTATAGATATCTCAACTTACATTGGTTTCTTTTCTGAAATTATTAATTTTTGACTTGGTTGTGTCCATATAAACTTTCAATCATCATCGTTTTATAAACTAGATATAATATAATTAACCAAGTTTTATTCAAATCGACTGAAAAGTATTTAATAGTATTTTTGAAGTTATACTTCTTTTGGCGCGTTGTGAAAAATGGATAATGAGGTATTTTTTTAAGGATGCGACGGGATTTACACTACAGTATGAAGTTAGTCGTTAAAACTTCCTTTAGTATAGTGAGATGTCTATATTCAAGATATTTATTCCGGTATTTCTCACAAAAACACGTGTTTTTATCGATAAATATAAAAATGATTACAAGCTTTTATTTAGTTTCCTTTTACCTTTTTCGTTTACCTGTCTCTGTGTCTGTCTGTAATCAAATCTTGTAAGTTTTTGACCACGTCCTATTGTCCGATTGAGCTGAAAATTGGCACACACATTTGACTCTCGTGACTGCACGATTTCCTAAATGCCGCCATTTTTAATCCAATACGACGGACGGACGTTACAAAATGGCGATTTATTATTTCCATAGTGATCCTTATGATATGGGCATCAAATAAAATGCTTGATGAGCGAAACAATAGCAAAGTGACGTCATTACAAAATTTAATATGGCGGACTGTTTATATTGCACCCCCATGATATGAATATCTAATAGAAGGGTTTGCTGAGAAGAATACGAAAAAAAAGCAAGAAACATTAAAAAGAAATAAAAAAACCGGCCAAGTGCGAGTTGGATTCGCGCACGAAGGGTTCCGTACCATCTATACATATAATGAAACTGTAGAGGTCGAATGTCTGTCTGTACATAGAAAAAAATTCTAAACCGATTCAGGGGGGTGTAAGAAGACAAATAGAACAAATCCAGATTTTTTATTTTTTTTGTGTTTCTGTATGTTTATACGGGTTAATCTCCAAATCTATTGGACCGGTTAAGCCGTTTCTGAGATTAGCGCGCACAAACGCACAGACAAACAGGCAAAAATTCAAAAAATCATTGTTTTTGGTTCTATCGCGTTAATAAAAACCCCCAATAAATAGTTTTCTCAAATATCTCCCATGTACAAACAGCGATCAGTTACAATTTACTATACCTATGTATAGATATGGACGTTGACTGAATATTTTTCGTCATTTACTTTTGGCTCTTTCAAAACAATAACATGTTAAATACGAGCTCGCAGGCTAGTACACGAGCGCTAGACTAGATTCGATGATCTTCGTAAGTCGTTGGCGCGGCAGTGGCTGGCGAGCGTGGAGCTCGCCGCTCGCTTGCTGCTCTAGCGTCTTGCATGAATAGGTATTTACAAGTGACCGGGCGCGCAGCGCAATTTTTTTATAAGTTAACACATAATATATTTTAAAGTAATTCGTAACACTCGTAACCTGACTGAATGACTCCAAACATAACTTTATCGACAATAGTTGGTACGTAGGCATACACGCATACACGATCCAGTGCAGCAGCTGACCCCCCCCCCCCTCCCCCCTCCCTGCCTCAGAGTACGCACATGTATTCATATCTTAAAGCATTATCACTGGCTGGCACCGACTTCGAAAATATCTGATTAGCTGTATCTATAGTACTAAATAAAAACCCCTGTTCAGTCAAATTTTACTTTTTAGTGCCGGAAAGTCGTTTTTTTATTGTTTTTATTAATTAGGCCAATGATATTAATATATACGATTATACAGTTTTATGCACACATTGGTTTAAAAAAGTTTACGTTTATTATTTAAAAACGTATATTTTAATTATAATAAATAACGAAGTGTTCTAAAGACTACTAAGAAAAATACCATTCTCGGCCCCAAAATGTCTACACGTCTGTTAGCTATATATGAATGTACCTACTGAAACTTACAGTAGCCCATTACTTATTCATCACAAATGGGGACGTTATAATATATTTATACAATAGTGAAGCTTACGATCCAGTCTTTAGATGTGACTATCGCATGTAAGTAAATGTAATAGAAATCATCAAATGATTGGTTTACAATCGAATATCCTAGATGTTAACTTGCACCCACCTGCACCGCCAATGCATAAACGCGCATGTCTAATCGCATGCGCTTTACATTATAGCCTCTGTGAATTATAAATAAAAATAGAAAATACGACGTAACCCTGAAATTAGCTGTTCCCATAAACAAGTGAGTTATTTTATATTTAATATTAAATAGTTCTGCATGCTAGTTATGATTACCCGATACAAATTAATTTTAGATATACATATTTTAAATTTGTATATATTATATTATTACGTACCTACTCATACTTATATGAATTATAGGTCAGTTTCTATTAATTTTGTTTTTGGCGAAAAGAAATTATTCCTAATTCTTCATAAAGAACCCATTTTACCACTTTTAAGTAATAAAGATGATGGATTTGACTTTTTATTAATGTTTTTTAAATACATACAGTATTATTTTTGGTTAGGTAACTTCAATTACGGTTTATATTACTTGCATTTATTTGATGTATGAATCATACTTAGTAGTAGTAGTAATCATATTAATTGAGTCACATACATATACATATATAATCTGAACATCTTAATTTATTATTTCATATCAATCTTAATTAATTGAGCTTTAGAGAAAATTTTAAAATATAAGATTTTATCATGAATTATTATTTTTTTCTAATTCATGACTAAAGTGAACAAAGAGTTTTAGATATTATATATTACATTTAAATATAAGCGCATTAAAGCTCCAGTTTCCGTGCATAAAAATATAATTGTTACTTTAGTGAGTTTACTTTCTGTCACTGTGTTTAAATAAGAAGCTGCTAAGGTCAATGTAAGCTTTTAAAGCTCTATCTTAGATTAATATAAAATATGTTATAGGTAAGCTAGGCTTAATATTATTTAAATAGGTACTTCCTGTTTTAAAATATAAAAAAAGCTATCAAAAACAATTTTTATGCGATAATGTTGAATGTATAAATATGATATTGTTTTAATTGCGAAGAAAGGCATTAATAATTACCAATACTCATATTTTATGTTGTGTGTTAAAAATTTAATTCGATATATTCTTTAGACTTTTTTAATGTTAATGTATACTGAAGCAATGTTTAAAACGTTTTTTATTATCATAATAATTAAATACTTTTGCAAGTGTTGGAAAGTATATTTCCATAATATGACGCAAGTGATAAAAATGACTTAGTGTGTAGTGGCTTTATATCTCATATAAACAAAATATATCAACGTCAATTCAAAACGTATGAAGTTTACGACTTTGTACGTTACAAAACTGTCAAATGTCAATTGTCATATTTGTCATGCGTGATTGTCATGTATTTTTCAGTATTGATACACCGGTAATTTAAGATAATTTATAAATTGTAGTTCAATTTTATTATTATAGGTGTAACATAAATTATTGGCAAACATGGAAGAAGATCTGGAAATTTTAGAAAGAGCTTTGTTGAACCTTGAGGCTACAGAAACGGAAGAAAAGGCAAGCAATCATGAAGGTCTTTATAAAAACTGGGGGAAACTAGGTAACCAAGAAGAAAGGAGAAAGCATCTTTTGGAAATTCAGAAAGGGTAACGATAAACATTCCCAATTGATAACACTTACCTATATCTTGTACATATTAAAGAAATATTTTTTTTGTAATTCTACAACACATTTTGAAGCTAGTGCTTGTTTACCTGCTCAATAGTATTTTTATCATTCATTACAGTAATAGAAACAACAAAATAGATAAGTTTCGAGGTATTTTGGAGCTTGTGAATGCCGTTGAAGATAATAAATTATTTAAACCATACAAGAAGGTAAATTTGATTTTAACTAACAAAAGGTTAGGTACCTATCTAATTTTACCAAAATTCTATTGTATTAATATTAATTGGGTAATATATTATGTAGTACTTTGTAAACGATAACAAGCTAGCTAAAGCTATTTGCATTTAATTCAATTGCTTTTATGATTCTCCATACAAACTCTTATCCCCATTTTCACCCCCTTAAGGAATGATTTCTGAAATAAAAAGTCCTACATCCTTCCCAGGGTCTTAAACTATCTTCTTACCAAATTTCATCTAAATCAGCTTAGTAGGTCCAGAGATTACCCCCTACAATGTTACAAACTCACAAACTTTACCTCTTTATGATATTAGTGTAGATTGGATGTTAAAAAAGCTTATTATAAAAAGGAAGCTGTAGATTTTCTAGGCTTTAATTTTTATGTTAATACCTTAGTATAATGTAATATAAAGTAAAAATGTGAGTAATCAATATTTAATTTTCAAGTTCCATTTATTTAATTTATATATTTATTTTGTACTTCATAATATTTCCTTAATAAAAGATTAAGGGCTGACTAAAGTAAATGTAAGGCTGTTGTAAATTATGTTTATAAATGTATATATGATATATTATATATAGAGTATGTTTATAAATATATATCATTTAAATGACTTGTGTTTTGTAGTACTAAATATGCTCTGATAAACTTTTAAAATTAGCCCAATTACGTTTAAGATTTTATCTAAATTATGATCTTGATATGCAAAATCCATTTTGTTTTTGTCAAACATGTGAATTTGAAGTAGATAAACAAACATGTTAGTACATGATTTTAATAGATTATTTTAACTTATTATTATTATTATATATTTCTTGGTAGTATTATAGTATTTTGGTAGTATAATATTTGAAGATTTTTACTTTTCCTTCTGTAATTGGCATTATTAAGTTCAGAACTTGATAAATGTTTATACATAATTTGTTATTACTTACATTATTTTACAATGTACATTTTAAATTTATTTTGAATATATTCAGTACAATTGATCATTGCTTTTGTATGATAAATAATATTTAAATTATAAATGAAGAGGGGAAGGAATACAAACTTAAAGCTAAAAGTATTTGATGTCAATCAGATTGTCATCACTTTGTGTTTCAATATAAATCTTTTTTCGTTTGAAAATTACACATTGTATAAAAGTATTTCCCTTTTTAAAAACTCTTGAGACATGGGACTTTCTATTTTTTTATTATAAAATGAATAAGTATTGATGTCAAAAATAAATATGATTTTATAATATTGTATTCTAACTTTCAGGTTCCATACAGGCCAAATATTTATGTAGCAGGATTCCATAAAACATGTCTTACGTACAATAATGTTCTGATGTTGTCAGAATGGATGATTGAAAAGCCAAGTGATTTTAGTCAGAATTGGTATGTTGTTCCATGTCCTAAAGCAGTAAGACTACTTGTAGTTGCAAATCACGTAAGTTTTTATATTATTATTTTATGTAATATGCTTGATATATTTGATGTGTTTTACATTTACAACAAAGCTGTTATTGATATAGGCAAAAAAAAAAAACTTTATAGACTGCTGATATGTTCTGGCAGGTTACCATTTTTTTTTAAATACTGGAGCAATAACATTTTTTTTTACTTTGTTTTTATTTTACTATAATTTTAATTTTACACTATAATTAATTTTAATTACTATTATTATAATTATTTTACATAATCTTTTTTTTTAAATATTGTTGATTGTAAGCTAATAACTCTTATTAAAATATTAAAGAAATATGATTTTTAATGAATTATTTTCAGGGTACTACAAAATTCTACACAAAGTATGGTCATTTCAAATTTGAGCGCCACACAGGTTTGCCAGGAGGTAATCCTTATAACTTTTATCGCAAGAACTATTGTGTATTGGATTGCTTTTACTATGAAAAAACAAATACACTGTACTTATTGGACTTGCTGGCTTGGAATAATCAACCAATGACTGATGGAGAGGTATATATCACACTATATACCAAATGGGCAAAAGGTTTTTTGAGATTAGACATAACATATTAGCAATTTTATTATTTCTTAAAGAGACTAACAGTTACTTAGTTTAAAATGGTAACAATTTTAATGATAGTTGGCACGAAAATAAGTTTAAAAGTATTGTAATACTTTTAAACTTATAATTTTTAATACTTATTATTATTAAAAGTTAATGAATAATTAATTTTCTAAAGTGTTGTTATATTTTTTCATAAAAAGTGATAGCCCATCACAACCAATGTTCAGTGTTGCTGTTTTTTATTCATTCACATTATAATAATCTGCCACATTTTTTTAAATTTTAATTAAAGCTATTAAAATGATATTTTATTGAACTTATTATGTACAATCAAATATAATGCGACAAAATAAGAACTAAGTTTATTTATTAAATTAGAACTAGTTTTATCTCTCTTTGACAGACTTCAAAAGGAGGTATTCATTTCCTCTTTATTTCTTATGTCATATTAAAGTTATGCAAATTGTAAAGAGATTATAATTTTTTTTTTTATATATATAGCTTTATTTAACTTTAGGCCTAAAGGGTAGTACTAAAACTATATATTTCAAATGTAATCCAACCTAAAAAACTCCATTTTTTTATGTGATTGAAAGTTAAATTTGCACATTTTGTTATAACTTCTTCTTCTTCTTCTTCCTGCCCATTTCCCAAATCACTTGGGGTCGGCGCAGTACATCTTCAGTGTACTGCTGATAGGATTTGGCAAAAGTTTTACGACCGGCCGCCTGCCTGACGTCAACCCTCCTTGGGAATGCTATTGTCTTTCTTTGTGTGAATTGTGTTAAATATTATGCACTTTCGATTTTGTTGTGTTTTAAAACATTTTTTATACTATTAATTCAATTATTAATGTTATTTTTGGGTATATTTTAAAATAAATTTCGATTACACAATAAATTTTGTATTGACGTTGTCAAATTTTTTCTTATTTTTTTTTTTCACATTTTGTTATAACATAAGATAATAATCTTGATTTTTCTAGACTGAATTTCGACAATACTGGATGAAGACACAACTAGAGGATTTTCCAGATACAAAAACAATAAATAAGAAAAATAAGGTTATTATCAAGATACTACCCATGATGCCATGCACAGATGACTTTTTAACATTGTAAGTTATTAATCTAGATTCTGAACTTATATTAAAAGTTATTTTTTTAAATTTCGAATTAAGTATTGAGAATACAGTTCTAAAAAGTTTGATTTAATATAAGACTACTTTATCTCTTCAGTTACATAATATGCTACCTTTCTCAAGTAAAACCTTAATATATTTATTATGTGACTTGTGACTTACCCACGCTTCGCTCCGGTGCGTCCCTAGGTATGTTTTTAAATAAATAAAAATAGTTATTGCAAGTGAACCTTGGGAGATAGATACATATATGCTATTGCAGACTTTTCTTATTTATAACTGCTTCGGTGGTGTAGTGGCTAGCATGTACGGCTGCACACCCAGAGGTCCTGGGTTCGAGTCCCGGGTCGGGCCAAGTTTAGTTATTGGGACTTTCTGTATAGTAAATCTTAGTAACAGCCCGGAGTTGGGAAGTTGGCGGTGTTTCACCCCCGTGCCTCGGAGAAATCGTAAAGCCGTTGGTCCTGCGCCGACACTCTCACCGGTCGTGTCGAGCAGTCGTCCCACCGGAGTATGAGAGTGACAGTAATAGAGAGTGCACGTTGTGTCTGCGCGTACACTTGTGCACTATAATATCTCCTGCGCAGTTGGCTAGTCTCAATGAGATTGGCCGCCGTAGCCGGAATCGGCTAGGAGAACATCATCATTGCAGACTTTTCTGTAGGTTTTTTTGAGAAGTATAATTTTCTAGTATATTGTTTTGATGTGTCTCTTAAGGTTTAGCGTTATCCATGAAAATGTCTAAAGATGACTCAATAGAACCAGTTATTATTTTTTCCCATGGGAATTAAAGATTTTCCTGTACTAAAAGAGTATCTTAAAAATACAGACAAATTTTTTAATGACTTGTTTTGGGGCCTATGTTCTGTACACAATATGTTACAACCATTGTTTTAAGAAAATATTTCATGTAGGTGTAGTGACGCATGTTTGTCGTATAGATAAAAAGTTTGAAAGAAATCAAATTTTTAGAGTCTTAGCACAAAAACTTTAGAGGTGACATTCAAAACGCTCTCGACCGAGACTCGCTCGTTAAATAATCTTGATAACTTTTGTAGACCATAAAATTTCGTCACACGTGCCCTTGGGTAGTTCTGAAATAGTTCCATCAAAATACGATAGGTGGTAGCACGTCTTCCGGGTCAGCAAGTATAAATACATATATAACTAAATATAAAATTTCATTTACAGTTTATTAAGCACATATCCTCAATTCGAAAACAATACTCCGCCTTTAGATGGTTTGCTCTTCTACCACAAGAAGGCGCACTACGTCGCCGGAGAGACTCCATTGGTCGGTTGGCTTTATCCTTACATGATACCTGAAGTTCTTGGAACGGGTAAAAATAATTATATTTTGTTATGAAGGTTTACTTAAAAATAGTCTTGTATCTTTATCCCAGTAATATTTTGAACTATATATATAATCTTTTGATAAAGATAAGTTCAAAAGGAAAAGCTAATGTATTATAATTATAATATAATTATAAATATAATAATTAACAAATCACAAAAAATCAGCAAAGGTAATATATATATATATATATATATATATATATATATATATATTTCTTTCTTTTTTTTATTTATTGAAATCTTAGTACATATATAGAAAAAACAGATATAAAAGATAATAATTTCAGAAGTTAAGAAGCTGTGTCGCAAGTATAATACAACATATCATATTTTCAGGCATTAAGCTCAATCCATGTTATATGTTGGAAATGCCAGAGGGCTATGTGAATCAAGCTGATTTCATACAGAAATTTGAAGCTAAACTGGCAAAGAAAAAAGAGAGGCGAAGTTCTCAGGCGAATGAAATGGAGACAGATTCTAACAAAACTGAGGTAAAGCGTGGTTTTTATAGAGTAGGTAGGAATAGTGTGTACACGTATTTTTGCACTATTATATCTCCTTTGCAGTTGGCTAGTATCAGGATTGGTCATATTCATCTCTTTTTAACGTCGCACTGCTAGGCACGAGCCTCCCTTTAATACGAGGGGGAACAGGTCATAGTCTACCTCGCTGGCCAAGTGCGGGTTGGCGGACTTCACATGTCTTTTTGAAAACTTGCTAGGTGCTCTCAGATATGCAGCATTGGTACAATATATGTATATCGAAGCAACATTAATTTTCTCTATTATTTTCCATTATTTTATCATGAATTATACAGTGGGCGTTATATGGGAAGTGTTGGTTCAAATGAAAGTCAATGCAATCACAGTTGTATTTCAAATTAACAATAATCACTTTGTACATAGTTAAACAGCACTTCACTACACAGCCATACCACTTCATTATTACCATGTATAGACAATACGGAACGCAAGACAGTTTCTACTAGTGTTCACTGCGCGACCGACTAAGCGTAACTCAGCCCGGTCGAGTGTCACGACGTAGACTCTGTCGAACCCAAAAAGGTGGCGCTCGCGTTCCGATTAGTTGTGATTATGACTCGTCTGCGACATGTATATAAATTATTAATTTCATTGTTCCAGACCACAACGCAAGATACAGAAGAAACGCCATCTTCAATGGAAGCTGATGAATCTACCAATAAACCTGATGATCAACCGACAGACGGTCTAGCTACTACTTAAACATTCTTAAAATCGTAAAGGATTTGATACGAAAGGCAAATTGATGTGATATAATAATTAATTGGTGTCTAATATGTTACAATACTTACAGTATGTAAGAATATATCCAATTAATTTAATTTGTTTTTGCTATTTATTTTATATGAATGCTTTGACTGTAGAAAGTTACAATGATGTTCTTCATGTTCCATGCAAATATACAATATGACAATTTTGTTATGTAGAAATAAAAAGTAAATGTTTAAACTTATTTTGTTTTATTTCAACTATATTATGTACTAGCGACTCACCCTAGCTTTGCTCGGGTTCGTCCCTAGCTTGATTCCCCATACAAACTTTCATCTCCATTTTCACCCATTTAAGGGATGACTTCCGGAATAAAAAGTATCCTATGTCCTTCCCAGGCCAAGTTCAGGGAGTCAAACTATCTTACCAAATATCATCTAAATCTCTTCAGTAGATCCAGAGATTACCACCTGCAACGTTAAAAACTCACAAACTTTACCTGTTTATAATATTATTATTATAGATTAAGTTAGCCTATTTAGTTTGCAGCCATTTTAGTATATGATTTCAGATTCGCATGGAAATGCTTTAAATGTGCAAGTCAAGGTATAGGTATTCGAAAAATATTATAATACGTGATATAAGATATTAAAATATTAAATAATAATACGTAAGATAAGGTCTCGTCAAGATAATGCGAGAAGAACAAAATGAAGTTAAAAATAACGTCTTAAACGTCTTTATATATGAGTAGGACCATGAGATAGGTGCCGATGACAACCCATACAAAAATGTTCGAACCCTTCAGTAATTGCTCTAACAATTCATTTTTTGACATCATGTTCTTTCCGTGTAATATATTCAAACATATACTAACGTTGTTAATTATTATGTTATATATATTCTCATGCTTCATATTTCTTTATCTTTCTTCTTCCACATCTTATAAGAATCGAATATTTTTTTGTTAAATTACTAAATTTGTCAAACTGTAATAAATATATAAAATCGATAAAAAATCTGGATACTTCCATCAATCACTGGTATTTTACTTAAATACCGTTAAGCGTTGTATATGTAGTTTGTGCACAAACATTCGAAAAGCCCGGACTATTGTTTTTTAACACTCCGTCTATCTTATTGTTTTAGCACGAGTGTAATACAGACCTAAAGCCCTAAAGATATTCATAAATCAACTTGATTTATATCTTACCATTACATGAGCTAAGTCGTCTAGGTCTTCAAAGTCTATACATATAAAAAAATTGTAACTAAGCTGAATCTGTACATTAAATATTTTTTGGAAAATCTTATTGAAGTAAACATTATTATCGATACACAGGCCGAATCTATAGTTTTTAGAATTTTTGTCTGTCTCTGTTACCGCATCACAGAAAAACCACTGGGGGTTTTTGATGAAATTTGGTATGGCGATAGCTGGTTATCCGGGTCAACATATAGGATACTTTTTACCGCGGGAAAATGTCTCATTTCTGAGAAAAAATACTAAAACTGCAATGAAAGAGTATACTAATATGTAAAACCTAAGAATTTGGTTTTTGGTCATTTGAACGCGGGCGGAGCCGCGGGCAATGCTAGATTTTAATAAAATACAAAGTATTAGGGCACTTTCTTAACACTAAAAATATAATATAAAACTGTTTGCGGTAATAAAACTATATGGAGCCATAACATAAAATCAGATTTGCAGATCGTAAATCGGAAGACGTTGCCTTAATGAATATTAAGAAAGTGAAATCAGTCTATAAATTTTGCTTTTTCTAATTGGTAGCCCAATAAAGTGAAATATTTATGTGATATATTATCTATAAAAATAATACGTGTGTTTGTGTGTTGCTATAACATTCTTCCAAATACGATATAACGAATGTAATGCAGATCCGGATGTCCTGGGTTCGTGGGCGGACCAAAACTAGTTATCGGGTCTTTCAGTTTTTCTGTTAAGAAGTTTTCAGTAACAGACTGTTGGGAAGTTGGCGATGTTTCCATACCATTGGCGAATCAAATCAAAAATCTCAAAATCAAAAATCTGATTTGACCAAATGCAACTAGCATTCGCAATTATTGTAATACGTATCTAAAAATCAAGCTTTCAAAATATGTATCAGTAATTACTAGAAAAAAATATCGATTAGATATTGTCAAAGCAAAAACAAACACACATCTATTAAGACTCACTCTTGACTGAAGTAGTATAGCTTTTATATAAGTATATTTATTTTCGTCCATTGTCTTATTAGACCACACGCGTGGTCTAATTAGACTCAATTGTGTATCTAATAACGTATATCTTCCATATAATTAATTGTTTACGATGGATTCTTTAACAAACATCCAAACATTTTCACAACCTTTCTTCTTATGTTATTGATAGTTAGTTACCTACTCTAAAATACTATCATATCTTATAATTATGTACATTGACATAAATCATATTACTTTTTATTAGTTTTGGTGTACATGACATAAAATTTAAAAAACAAACATATTTTACGAGTATAAAGTATACCTAAACATTAAAACAAACTACCTCGTAATCTTTTTAAAAAAAATTATTTATAATATCTAAACTCTCTGGAATTTATAATTTCAAAGAAGAAGGGAAAAGAATGATAATTAATTATTTATATAAGGGTGTTATACGAAGTTTATTATTTATTAACGACTTACCCTCGCTTCTTTAACTGCCTCGGTGGTGTAGTGGCTAGCATGTACGGCTGCACACTCGGAGGTCGTGGGCTCGAGTCCCGGGTCGGGCCAAGTTTAGTTATTGAGTCTTTCTGTATAGTGAGCCTCAATAACAGCCCGGAGTTGGGAAGTTGACGGTGTTTCACCCCCGTGCCTCGGAGAGCACCTAAAGCCGTCGGTCCTGCGCCTTAACTCTCACTGGTCGTGTCGAGCAGCCTTCCCACCGGAGTATGAGAGTGACAGGAATAGAGAGTGCACTTGTGTCTGCGCGTACACTTGTGCACTATAATATCTCCTGTGCAGTTGGCTTGTCTCAATGAGATTGGCCGCCGTGGCCGGAATCAGTAAGGAGAACATCATTATCACCCTCGCTGCGCACGGGTGCTTTCCTAGATCTAGGTGTGTCGTCTAGGTACGTTTTAAATACATAGATAAAAAAAGTTTTTCTGAGTGTACCTTAGGAGCTCATGCTATTACGGACTTTTATGTTGAACTTTCGCAAAACCTATAATTTTCTAGTAAGTGCACTGTTTGGATGTATCTCTTAATGTTTAGACAGCATTAGCTCTGTAAGCGTATTGAAACAGTTTAAAAAACACATTCATAGACTATTCACCATAGCTCAGCCATTTTGTACAACAAAATAATAATAAATTGTTCTTATATACAAATTTTCCTCGTTTAACGTTCTTTCTATTAGAGAAACCCGTATTGAAATCCGTTGCTTGGTTAAGAAGAAATAAGCAGAGAAACGGGCAGAGGCAGACAGCGCTTTTTCACTATACTTACCTATATGAGCGACTTGCGACCAAACTAAATTTTGTATTTTCCCGTGAAAATAAAAGATGTTACTGCAGTAAATTGTTAAATAAGTAAATTTTTAGAATAAATTAATCGAAAAACTTCAAGAAACCTTTTTTGTAGACCGTTCAATTACCTATAAGAATATGTGTGTATCATTGCTTAAGTCATCTTATTCGAGAAAAAAAATGGTAAAAAGTTAAAAAAATCCCATTACCTAGTTTAAGTGGGAAATGTATCGTCTGACTTTTTTTAGACAATAGTCTAAAAATTTAGAGGGCGTCGCAAGAAAAAAAAACATGAAGAACCTGACCCAAAAAAAAATTTATACATATTTTTATAGATATGATTCAAATCGAACATTTCACAGAATTCTTTATTTAATGAAATAATGGTGTCTCAATTTTCGTGTTTCTATTTATTTTTCATTGTGACCTTTTATTGTCCGTCTAAAGAAATAAAAAATCAAATAAAGAAGTTGATTTACTTACGGTCAGATTTTTTACATAGATAAGTAATACTCCGTCCAAGTGCAGCTACTAACTGCGGCTAGTGGTTTCGCACGCGAGTTTAATTCGACTAAAGAAAATTTTAGGAACATTCATTAATAAATTTTACTTATCTATATAAAAACCTACCTGTTACGTATTTTTTTTTATAGCGACAAAAGAGTAGAAAAAGGTACTAACTGTTTTGTCTTTGCCTATTTATGTATAATTTTCTTTGCTTTAAATCTTAAACTTTAATCATGTAACTATGATATATTAGTATTTGTTTTTCACCTAACTTAATCAAAGAGTATGCATATGGGAAGAAGCGGGGCATTCCCAACACAAGTATCCTCGGATTACTTACTGGGAAGACTCGAACACAAAATGTTAAGATGATTAAGAAATAACAACGATTTTATATAGATTTACGAGTAGTTTGCATTTACGAGTATTTAAATCAATATGTGATACGTGCTTAGTGTGCGATTGCATGTGGAGCCAAGCTTTATTTTTTTATATATTTATCTATGCAAACCATCGAAATGTGACTTACATTTTATTAAATTTATAACTATTGTTTTACTAAAAAGTAATTTCTTAGAATCTTCGAGCAGAAAAAATTTTACGAGTCGGCCTATTTAATTGGAACTCTATTTGTTTGGCTGGCGTAAGCGTATTATTATTGTTTGGATCTTATTATTGTTTGTGTCGGTAAGTAGACATCAAATTTCAAAACAAAATGTTATTAATGCTAAGTAGCTTGAGTTAAATCCCAATATTAGGTTTCATAGATAATATTATATGATATTTAAACACGTTATTATTATTATTTTTTATAATTTGTTATCGGACTACCTATTATTCTGAATGCAAAAGTTTGTTTGTATGTTTGTTACTTCTTCACGCTAATTCAGCTGAACAGTTTGCTTAAAATTTAGTACATAGGCTATGACCTAAAGTAACACAGGCTATTGTAAAGCACCCAGGATC